CTTTCTGGAATTATTTGTGTGAAAGAAATGAAAAATTAAAGAGCGAGAAGGAGAATAAATAAAAATGAATAACGAAATTATTGGAAGGTTCTGGAGGCATGACGATCAAAAAGAATAACGAAATTGAATGTTCCAGAACCTGACCGGGGGTATATAAGCGGAACTGCGGCTCACCGCTGGCAGTTGACTTCTAAGTCTAAAGTGATTCGGAAGAAAAGGAAGAAGTGAAAAAGAAGAAAAGTGAGTGAAATAGTGAAGTGCAGTGAAATAGTGAAGTGCAGTCAGTTAAGTGAGTTAAGTCAGCGTGAACGGCAAAGTTGTGTCAGTCGGCCGGACTCTGCTCAAGGAGAACGCCGATAACTTAACTCCGTGGACGCTGTAACTTAAGTGCAATAGAAAGTCTGAAAACCGGTATTAGTGTTTCATTTCATCCAATCCCGTAACCCAAGCCCGCATAGTCAGGAACGTGACGAGGCACGTAACATTTCACGTAACAATATAAACCGCCTACTTTAATATAGAGTACTTTCGTTCGGCATTCGGTTCATAAAGTAGTACTATACAAAATTATTTTCGTCCTCGCTACCAAGGCTACTTAGATCCCCTGAGCAAAGACGCTGACAACATATAAAAACGCAAGTAATTGGAGCTTATTGATGTTGTTGCAGTAAAGGCCATGGAGACACCGGCCTTGGGCCCACGGGGAACCTTGCTATACAGTATACACCATCAACAGGCTTAAGACACGCAGCGATCCCGAGATAAATTTAGCTCCTAACAATTGCTTGAATCTCAAATAAAAGTCCCAATACAACTTGCTGTTGTTGATCATATTAATTTAAACAAATGTTTAACCTCCCCAAGACGTCTCGTACAAATACTTCAACAGTAAATTAATTTAAACTTGCATGGTTTAATGGAATTTGTGAGCTTAAAGGCAGAGCTCCTTGTGCCAGTCCGCTGGTAAGACCAGTAAAGGTACACATTCATTCAAATTCACGGTGTAGGCGCTATGATATCATCAAAGTAAGATATTCTGAATGTCAAAATTTCCCTTTATTTGGCGGCACGTGGCCTCCTTTGTGACCTGTTTATTCAGGACTGCCAGTTTTTGTGGTTCGTACTCTTAATGTTTTAGTTTCCCCTTTCTATTACCAAACGTCGCTGTGACTGTCATTTCAGCCGGTCAGTTGGTTATAATTTAAAGCCGCAAAAGGTTACAAAATTTGAGTATTACAATTAAATTCACTCATTTCAGGAACCACAGAAATGGTTGGTATACATTTTATGTCTGGAATGTTAAATAGGATCTGACCAATATTTATTTGAATAAGACCAGCAAAGGTGTATTTTATACGCCATTTATTGCGAACACGTAGATAACAAAACATGTTTTTGGTAATTTGTATATAGCATGAGTTAGTTTATAGTGAAAGCTTCCATATTCGCAAATAACAAACTCTTGTAAAAGCGGAATATTTACGCGAGCTGCGGCTGAACAGCGCAGTATTCAGCGCACGTAGATGAGATTGATGAGTGCACAAATAGCGCAGGTGTTGCAGCACGATGCACGACCCACTGCGCTCACGATTAAAACAAATTCTCCGATGTAGCCTTTATTTGTTTAGCGCGAGGTCGATTTGAATGAAGGGAAATATTCAGGGAACGAACATTGCGATCAATTACAGGTGAGAATAAATTGGAAGATGTTCATTTGCAACCAGTTCCTCATCTAGTATTCAGATGAGCGGCTACCATTCATGTCATGTTTTATTACAATTCTATCAAGTTTAAAGCTCCACTATACGTGAACACATTCCCAGTAGTATGTCGGCAACAATTTTTTTTTATAATTGCAGTACCCAGCAAAGCGTCACCTACGTACAAATTAATGTACTCTCTGTGTGCAAACAAACTGCTGACACTTTCAACTAACATGAGAAATGAGTATGTAATATTTGTAAACCGAACAAAAACTAACCGGAGTTTACTTTCTTAATGAACATTGTAAGATTTGGAATTAAGACTTTGGAAGTTCAAGAACTGGAACCTGTATAAATTGTGAGATATTCCTGTAAGCGATCTTAAGAGAATATTATTATGGTATTATTCCATTCTGTTATTTTTATAACAGGAAAACGAACAAGTAGGTATGCGTTGGCGACCTATTTTCGTACGGATAAATACAACGTAAGTGTCGTGGTGGCCCGGAGGTTAAGGAGCCCGCTTCTCATGCACGAGGGTGTGGGTTCGAAACCTGGCAAGTACCAATGTGACTTTTTCCGAGTCATATGTACTTTCTATGATTATTTAGACACCACTGACATACGGTGAAGGTAAACATCGTGAGGAAACCTGGACTTATAATTTCTAATTATAAGTTTGAAATCGCCAACCCGCATTGAGCAAGCGTGGTGATTAATGCTCAAACCTTCTCCGTATGAGAAGAGGCCTTTGCTCAGCAGTGGGCACTTATAGGCTGATGATGTATGATGTATGATGTAAGACAACGCTTCATAAGACGTGATATGCAACTGCATTCATTTATAATAATAAATAAGCGAAGTATTCTGATGAAAGTTTAAATCTTGGTCCAGATAACATTTTCGTTGGTTTAGAAGAAATAGTCACATACACAAAGGCAGTTGTTTCACTTTGACCATTAAGCAACAATACGCAACACCCAGCGGTTTACTCAACTAATGAAACTTTGGAGGCGAGTAAAAATCTGAGGTGACAGTGCAGACGGGATCCACTTACAACGAGTAACCACTGTGACGCTAACTTCAGAACAAACCTCGCAAACTGTGCCCGACAGATAACACTAAGTTTATAACTATAAAGAAAATTATACCTACCATACTTTAAATGGAATAATTACGGAGTTGTTTAAAAAAGTCGTGGTGGCCCGGAGGTGAAGGAGCCCACCTGTCATGCATGAGGTTCGAAACCTGGAGGGTTCGAAACCTAGCAAGTACCAATGTGACTTTTTCCGAGTTATATATACTTTCTTTCTATGATTATTTAGATACCACTGACATACGGTGAAGGTAAACATCGTGAGGAAACCTGGACTTATAATTTCAAAATATAAGTTTGAAATCGTCAACCCGCATTGGGCATACGTAGTGATTAATGCTCAAACCTTCTCTGTATGAGAAGAGGCCTTTACTCAGCAGTGGGCACTTATAGGCTAATTGATGATGATGATGATGATGAGGGAGTTGATATCAAATTATTTTCATTCACCCCGTCGTAGAGGTAAACAAAAAACTCTGTTAACCGACTCGAGATCCAAGACATCAGCATAGCCGGTCCCAATAAAAAGTCTGACGACTACAATTTCCAATGATCTAGATAGTTAGACAACAATAACTGTCAGGGACAGACTACTCGGGCCATTTGTTAAACAGTCGGAACATAAATAACAGTAATGAAATAATCGATACTTTATACCGAGCATGTGTATGTGTGAGTACAAGTTAAATTATATTCAGTAGTTAATTTGTTACAGCAACCTGCAGTGCTGAGGATTAGAAATAAGAATATTTGTGGACAAGTTTCATTTACATTTGTTTGTACTGCGAATAAACCTTATTAAACGCTATTTTTTATACTATAATGGCCGGGAACTACTGCTCCTGCAACGATTTATATACATAGATATAGATTTTTATATAAATTATATGTATACTTACTGTTTGTCTACAAGCTAAAGACTGTGACTACACGGTTGGCGCGGTGGCTGGGCAACTGGCTGCCGAGCAACGCGTCGCGGGTTCTATTCCCACACGGAACGACTCTTTGTTTGGTCCACAAATTGATGTGCCGGGTCTGGGTGTCATATGTATGTGACGTTGTATGTTTGTAAACGCGAACCAGGCCAAAATCCTAGTGTGGGGCAACGTTAAAAAAAAACCCTAACTCTACTAAACCATTCTGTCAAAACGTTAGATTAACACTAGCTGTTGGTTATACATTGTAGTTTTATCATACAACAAGAAATGACTTCGCAGTCAGTGTATTGTCCAAAATATATTCGTTGCGGGCACAATAGGATAATGTTAGTTAACGTAATCTGCGCTGCGCGACACCTAGCGACAATTTATGTGCCAGCTCCGCTCGGACACGGGGGATTAAAGTTCCCACCGGGAACAACCAACAAAAAGCAATTGAAGCACAATAGTTAGCTGCTTTTTATCATACAATATTAGCGAAACGAAGCCAAAGTAGAAATAAAAAATGGTATATAGAATCGAGACTTCGAGAGTCAACAAGTCGTAAGAATGAGACATGGAGGTGGAACAGGTAACATATGCAGAGAGCAAGCTGTGGCAAACGAACAAACGTAGCGTGAACTGTAAGCTCGTCAGCTCGTCAGCTTGCCAAACATCGCTAAATTGGCCAGCAGAGCGGACTGCCTATTTCGAATCAAACATACAAACCGCTGCGTAAATACTGCTATCTACTGCCCAATTACTGGATTACTTCTTTTCTTAATACATACTTAATACTAACATTACATTTTCTTGAAATTAGAATCAAGTTTTTTATTTTATTTTTATTCAGACGAAAATACGCCTATCTCATATAACGCTGTGTGATATACCTGCCATAACTTATGCTTTTAACGAAAACAAAATATAATTCAAACTAGACTACAAAGAAAATATCAAGACTGCAATGTTTACCTACAATAACGCTATTACCGGTTTTTGTAATGTATTTTGATCCCCCGATAATTCGTTAGGTAAATTTACTATAATACCTGCGTTACAAAAATATGAAAGCAATAAAGAATATATTTGGTATTACCTTAAATAATCACTCTTTGCTCACAAAAAACACATTTTCCACTTGGAATAAAAGTGAAATGAGCGGCGGGCCCAGGTCATAATCATAAAACGATGCGGTAGGCTCGCGTATATCACACCAGTAATCCGCATCAAATACATATTTGTAGCAGAGAGTAACCACAAAAACCATGACCTTTGCCACTGGTGTTTGTCCACTAATGCCTTCAAAGACCTCGAATTGTGTGTTTGGAAGCCGGCGGCAGCGTCCGCGACCGTTAGTTGCGTGCCGACCGCCGACGCGAGCGTACGTCACCCACGGACATTCCTACACCCTTCGAGAAACCCCCCGACACGAAAAAGTTGCATCCAGTGAACAAACAGAGTTGTTGTGTCAGTGTTGTATTGTATAGGAGCGTGATGTTTGTCTGTGCCAGACCACTTTGGTAGTCTGTTCGCGGCAATGGCAGTCTCGTCGTGGAGGTAAATATTGACGATATCTGATCGCCGGCACTGGCGAATCCTCGCGACCACGGTCCGGTGCCAGATAAGTATTTGCTGAGCGTTCGAACGCCGTCCATTCCATTTCCCCGCGATTATATTTGCATATTTGCATGATCATTGAAAGCAAATACGGTTCGGACGAGTTCTTTCGAATAATCCTCAGCAAAGTACACACTAAAAGCTTCATTCTAGTACAACGAACACACTTTATTATTTTGTAATGAGCATAATGTTACAATATCATTCCGGACTTTCATAATTTAACACATCGTGTAAGAGCCGTTACTGGCTTTGTCGGGTCCGATATGTAAATATAGGATTGAACGCGGGACCGCGCGGTGTCATGCATGTGTGCACGTCGCTACCAAAAGATGTGAATTAAAGTGCTCTTTATATTTCCCCGTTAAAGTTCCAGACGAGCTTACGTAAGCTTTCGGCGGGCTCCCCGCCCCCTCTTATGTAACTACTCGATTTGGATGGAATTTTATCATTTTTGGATTCGGTTTCAGGAACAAATATTTGTGCCTAAAAACTAGTCATCGTAAATAAAGTGTACCACAATAATCGCGACGATACTTTGTTAAACGAAATCCAAAGCTTTGTTGCTTTAAAATAGGCTTCGAAAACTTATTTTGGTAAATAGGTCGCGGCAACCTTGTTGCTTGGTGATGTTGCAGCCGGCCGAGGCTGGTGCACTATTGTATTTCGTGTGCTGAGCCAGACATTCGATGCACGCGACCTAATGGGGCTAATGCAATCGTATTGTGCCCTTGATCGAGTATCTCTGCAGCATTATCAATAAATATCGTAACGGATTCTAACCGCCTATTAAATCTATTAATACTCCAACGACTGCCAAAAACATCTGTTGAACTGAACAATGAGATGAATTCAATCTGCTCTGACAGACAAAGTTTATGTTTGAGGGATCTACTTTAGTCTGTGAAATCTCTGAGATCTCGCTTTGAAGGAAGCAAAGATTCAAAGTGCACAATGAATTGAACCCCGACACCGGTCTTCACAGAACTTTGAGATTAGCAATCGAATTAACATTCAAGGATAGTGGAAGTGATAACTCAGCCTTCCTGAACTCATTATCCAGCCGCCTAAAATCGTAACTTTGATGGCGCTGTTAACTAACAAATCTTGCTTGATTCCACTTTTTGTCACTAGAAGCCCACTTTACATCGTTAGCTATTTTAGTATTTTTAATTAAAATTTGTTTAAGAATATGCATAAACCTTAGTTTAATAAATATGTTACGTGTTTAATGTAAGTGTGTAAGTAAACAAAAAGAAATTAAGCATAAAAATAATAGCAAACACAAACTGATACAATATAACATACAATATACCGATAGATTAAAGCTGTACACTCTACTTAAAATAAAGAAAGTAAAACATGACGCAAAAAAAAAGCGAAGAGCGTCAACTGAGGCTCAACGGTCGATAAAGAGCTTCGAATTATCTATTCCATTACACCGGATGGCCTATATCAATATTGCCCTAGGGAAAACTTTGTGTATGACCTCGTGTAATTTCAGATACCTACATTGTACCTTACTCGCTGTAAATACGTACTGTAGTATATTTGCAAACTCACTACCTCACTACACCATCTCCTAATAACAACAAATTACAGCGATGCAATTTTCACCAGCGATAAACATTGATCAGATTCAATTTGCGATTAGTACAAAGTTTCGCTGAATTTTTTCGGATACTCGCCCTGTAGCTATGAAAACATTTTTTCTACAACATATAAATCTTCATAGCAACCATTTAAGGTGTAGTGATTACTGGAACACTGGGCGTTTTGATCACATAATACATATATTATTATAATTTCACAGAGTTATGATGTCAAATAAATGTGTGAGGAGGGTTTGTTCCCCTGGGGTCAGTCATGACTCAACGTTTCCCTTGATTTTACTCTACGTGATCTGAACACACATTAATACACACTCACGATATATTTTTCATATTATGTTTTAATACGAAACTATATCTAATCCATTCCTAAGCCGATAGGAAGGAGTACACAGTTTATGAGTCAGCTGCTTAATTGCATTTTGCATTAGGAGAAAATTTGACAATTTTTCAATCTAATTGTTAACACAACTCAGTTTTATTTGATAATAAATTCAGTTAATGTATGATCAGTCTACGACTTACTTTTCGAGATAGATCTAAAGGAAAATTATAATAGACACGTTCACTGATAAAGGAAGGAAAATTGAACAGAGGTAGGAGATATGCTCACTGACAATTTGATGAGCGAAATAGCCAATATCTACTAGATGGGCTCGAAATCCCATTAACCAATAGGTCAACAGTGAACACTAGCGTTCCTGGTTTGAACGCTGTGACCATTCTATGATTGAATTCAGCGCGACTCTGCCAATACATTGAGAAAAATCAACTATCGATACAGGATTGACGCTACGATTCAAACTTCAGATACGTTCACATCGAAATATGTGAAAATTTAAAATGCTTAAGAGAGGTTATAGTATACTATGGAAAACAAGTTTCAAAGTGATATTTCTTTGGTCGCAGTACTGTTGGACAGTAGTTGCAGCAAGTATCGAGGCACAGTGGAGCTTATCGCAGAAACTTTATGAATAACAACTTTTATATACGGCCACAGGGCTACTAGCCATAATTTATGATAAAAATGTTTAAGGAGGTACTATTGAATAGATAATAACATTGATAATGGATTAATATCGAGAGTATCATAATGATAACGCGTTTTCCCTCCACTTTAGGTACACAATACAACTTGTGTAGGTAGTGAACAAAAAGTTCAGTTTTACAAAGGTAATATCATAGGAAAAGGTCGAAATGCTAATTTGTTAAGAGCTAATTAGGAGAGAACATTAATTTAACACTCTGCAAATACAAGCCTATTTGTGAAGGACAGTAAGACAGTTAGAGCTAAATATAGCCTTCTATAATAATGTACTGGGTGAAGACAGCAAATAACTTTGGTGGCTACATACCTAGCAACAATTTTGGCTTTATCGAAAAGAAAAAGTTACCACCAAAATAAGTGAACCTCAATGGATAATTTCAAGCACAGTTAGATAGATGGCCTACCGCTAGGCAAATTTAAATACATTTGATATTAACCTAGAAAAATAAAGAGATGTTTTGAACGATGAAGTAAAATGTGTATAAATATTGAAATATTTGACTAAACCTTTTGTTTAGCATTGATGGAACCTTTAAGGTACACAACTCTAATACCGTTAGTGACGTTTACTTGTTGGAAAGTGACTGCATTTATAATTTGTTCAGGCCGATATTGGTGCTGTATCGTGATAAAATAAAAGTTAATGTTAGAGCAATTAAACACAGCCGGTCATTCCGTGTAATTTGGGCAACGCAGCCGGGTAATGTCGTTACGCACGCCACGATACACGTGTTGATAAACAACCATATTTATTGTATTCATTTTATGGTTTTTATTATAAACTTTTGACTGTGTCGGTAGCCTTTGTAATGTTAGCTCGATAAGAGAAGCATGGAAGAGATAATGGTGAAGTCGAACAAACGGTAAAGTTCAAATGTAGCGTATGAGCGAATCTGATAAGGAAGCTGTCTCCACATTAAGACACAGTATCGGCGCTGCTGATCGTTTGTGCTGACTGCGACTTCGGATAACAATCTTTCCCGTATACAGATACATACACATTCTATTACTTCTTTATCTACTTGGACTTGCAAGTTTTAAACCGATTTGGGTGATGAAATCTATGTATAAGTACGCGCTGCGTTATATCACAAAAATATATGCGAGTAAAATTTGATATGCAATATTAACCAGAATTGAATTGCACGGAATCTATCTATCTATAACATTAAAAATTATATCGAACAGCACGTCAAGGTAATTGTTGGAGTTCAAGGATATAGAAGCAGCATGAAATGTAATCCAAGAACACGCCGCCATTACAAAATAGTTAGCTATACGTTGTGTTAGCTCCACGTTTACATCGACGGAACAACTCTCAACAAAGCGAACTTCACTCAAGAAACAATGAAACTTATGAATAAAATATCGCGCCACCTTCGAGTTACAGGGTACCTTGTTCAGTTATTTAGAAGAATTCAGAAACTAAAGTCCTGAAAATACAAACAAAACAAAGTCTAGATAAACTTTCTGATAAGGAACTTTTTCTTGACAAAGAAAGGCTTTTAAATCCATCAGCGGCATATGACGGGCGTACGGCAGACTTCAATAAAAAGGGACGCGATAAAACCGCCCGTCTCCTCGCGCCTACACAGGCACACGCACTCCTGAGCTGTTCATGTGAGTTAAATGAGCCGTCTGCCAGAGAAAGAAACGTTTCAACCATCCTACAGCGAACGAACATAATGCCAAAACAAATTGATTTGATACACAAATTGATTACTCTATTGTTGAGTGTAATCCAATAAAAAGCTTTCTTAAAACAGTGTCCAGCAGAAAGGTTATTTACTCTCAGTGTAATGTCCACAGCGACCGGCGAGCGGCGCTCCCTTAACGTACACAATGTAACTTTTATCACTATCATAAAATGGCGGTGGATCTGAAAAGGTTCAGCAGTCCACTATTACTGTTAAAATATAAAATCTTTTAGGAGATTAGTAAAAACAAGAAATAGTGAACAAAAATATATTAGTGTTCAAAAGAAGTTCTAGGTACTTATAATCTCCTATTTCGTTGAGTGATTAATACGTTAGACGTAGAAACATAGTTCGTTCTGCCGTTTACCCATTGGGCTGACCACATTACCGGCACCGCCATCAGTTACGTTGTCCGCAAATAATGTCCTGAATGTATCAATTACTTCTCGTTCTACTGACAGTTTACGTAGAAATAGATCGGTGCACATCAAACGAACACAACCAGATACTTCTTTGATGTTTTGTCAATTTGTTTCGGCAGAGAAGCGTAATATATCTGTGCGAATAAAGATTCACATTGCTGTC